TTATTTGTAATAATTTAATTATTTAATTTAAAAATAATTGTATTTATCTTTACCTATTATACTTGTCCTACCTATCCATATTTTCGTTTACTCGTGCTTATTCGCGTCCTATTTCCACGCGTATTCCTACATTACTTTATTAATATGTAATAACACCGCAAATAAAATATGTTAATGACTGTGTTTAGCAGAGAAAGCAGCTTTGCAAATGTTATAAAATTCTTCAATACAATTAATTCTCGCTTTTTTGATTCTTTATGGAATAAATTAATCATATTGAAAAATTTTACAACAGCTGCAAAGCCGCTTTCTCTGCTGAACGTAGCAGCTAATGCCTAACATGTCCTATCGCGTACTGATAAATTCAGCGGAATAATCTAATCGCGATCGCATTAAATAAATAAGTAATAAATAATAAAAATTAAAACAGACTTTCAATCTTTAAAATACAAAAAAAAAACAAATAACAGGATTAACGAGAATCACCGTGGATAATCAAGAGCAAGTTTTGTAGATTAAAAAGAACCTAAATAATTTGCGCTTGATTATCGACTGGCTCTCATTAGCTCTGTTGTTTTTTGATTAATTTTTGTATTTTAAATAAAAAATAAGAACTCGCAATTTGCGAGCAAGTTACCCTCTCGAATATATAGTCACAGATATCTTTATACATATACTTTATACATATACTTTATAAAAACTTAAATTGATATTACATAGCAAACTACTTCATATAGATCTCTTCTTTCTTCTGGCCAGAGATTGAACTTACCTTTCGTTGTTACTGGCCAATATTCTGGCTTCATATGCCAGAAATCAACAGCAAGGAGAAATTCCTTTTTGCTTATTAACATTGTTGGCGTAAAATTTTTTTACGCTTTTGTATGATATGCACAAAATATCGCGTCACAAAGAAGACATTATATTAATGAAATTAACTAAATATTAATATGAACAATTAATAATAATAATAATTCCATTAATATACGAAGGAATAAATTTCGCGTTTATTCAAAATTAAAAATATAAATATACGACTAAAAAAACAAATTTTTATTTTAAAAAATCTTCAACGTTTTGATTTCAAAAGTTCTCAAATATTGTGAAATTACATAAAAAATATCTTAATATAAATTTCATAATGTAAACAACAAAACATTAATTTAAAAATAAACTGAAAATCACTAAATCGATTAAATTCAGGTCCCGAAAAAAATTCAAGGCCCACATATTTTTAACGAACGATTCGTTGTTGAATCTTATCCCAAAGCATGCGGAGATGAGAAATTCAGATGAATAGTAAGATCCGAAAGGAATAATTTTCCTTCATATCAATAAACATATCTCTTTGTATTTTGTAAATTATTAAAATCATTTTCTGTATAATTTATTATATCAAAATTAAGTGATGCAAAACTCTGAATGCGATTTTAAAATAATTACAAGATAAAATTTTGTCTATTTCTTGACAATATATATTACTATATAGGATCTTAAATCATGTTATTACTTTAACTTTTACTACTTTAAAATCCAGTTACGTTGGATAAGTTATAAAAGCTTAGGCTAAAGTCAGTGCATTGAAATAAATAGTAATTTAATAATCATAAAATGTCTTATGAAAAAACGAGATCAATAAATTGACGAAATGACATTTTATAATACAATTTCATTAGTAATATGTATATAAATAAGGGTAAAAAAAACACAAAATTGAAATACTTAGAAAACAATATATATTATACATATATGAATATATATTGCTTTTCTACACCAACTTATATAAAATTTAATCCTGAATGAATATTTATTCATATAATGAATAGGATAGGTAGGAAAAATAACAAAACAATACTTGTTACACTGTAACAAACTTTCCTATATTATGATAGACAACATTTTTATTTGCACTAATTACTTTTTATGTATATTCTTTATATTTTTTAATTTCCTGTTTTTCATATATTTAAAAAAATATGAATATTTTATTATCTCTTTCAAGTATTTTAAGACGTAATATTTTAATGTAAAACATGTTTAAAAAATGATCACAAAATCAATCTATTTTTATCATATTTTTGAGATTGAATTACTTAGAGAGTTAAATTAAATTGAGCTTGAATGACTTACAATTATAGTATCAAAGTATTCATATTAACGTATGAATTTATAATAAGTAAACAAAATTTTAACCTTTAATAATTTGAGTTAAATAGTTTTACTGCACTGTTTTAATTAAATTAACTAAAATAGTTATTGAGTAAAAGTAGCAACTTATAAAAATGATTAAAAATAACTCAAACTTAAAAATAACTCAACTTGGGTATAACGTGATATTATAAATTTAACAGTAGTGTATACACAATAAATTCCACAATTAAGAGGCATCCAGTATTAAGTTTATCCTAAAGTTCTGTTATAACTTATTCATTTTAAGGCAACGGATGTATGAAATGCTATACATACATTTATCCGTATATTTTTATTAAATTGCACATATAAATCTAGATTTATAATATATGAAATGACCATACATCCGTTACCTTAATAAAAACATTAATTCATTACTCATCAATTCGATGCACAACAGCGGAGTTACATCTGCAACGTCGCTACGATAATTTTGTAACAAATAAATTAAAATACAAATTAAAACAGAGCAGAAAAAATGAATCAATATTTTAAAAAATATTTATTAAATATAGAGTTCTCTTGAAAATAATTATATAATATTTAAAATATAATCTTTATAATCTTTATAAACATCGAATTTTTTAATTCAGATATTTATAAAAATATTATTAGATATTATATATTAGATATTTATAAAAATAATTATACATTTTCTAAAAAAAATCTTAAAAATGCGTTATATATGTATATAAAATTTTTAAATAATTCTTTTCCTCTAATATTAGATTCCTCTAATTATCATTTTTAAATTATTACAAAATAAAACGACTCAAAAATAAACAGAAGAAAGATATTAATTTTATACAAGCAAAAAATGATATTTACGCAGAGTTGCTCCGCCGGTGATGTCTCCTCCTCTCAGAATTGGATTGACATCCTCTTGCACAGGACATTCGCGTGAAACACTCGCGAATAATACATAATTCGCGCGAGGACTAATTATTTAGAAAAATCTTTCGAAGAAATCTTGAATGCTTTATGAAAAATCCATTAATTCAATAACTTGAACGGCACTCCCGAAATAAATGCGCGACGTGACGAACCGGCTGTGATTCATTCACTTTTAATTAAATCGACGATGAGGATACATTAACTTCCCCTTCGTTAAATTTTTACATGAAAAGAATGATTTTGCTCAAGTATCTAAAAATTTATCTAAACATATCGTTTATCTAGACATTTCGAAAATTTTTAAATTCTTAAGAAAAACCGTTCTTTTCGTATATATCTTCCAGGTACTGAGCCCTCTCATCACGTCAAAGTCATACACGTAAGAGAGAAGATATCATCTGAAAAATATAATATAGCAATTATCTGTATTACTATGCAATTATCGGTAACTTTTAGAAATGTATATCAAACACGTGTCAATTCACCATTGTGAAATAAATTTAGAGCGGATAAAAGGCCGAATCTCTTATTACCTATACAGCACAGAAAGATTACAGAACATTGCAATGATTTCACTGAAATATTGCAATATTGCATATACATGGTGGTTGCAAAACGTTGCTGAATCATTGCTGCAAGATTCTAACAATGTTAAGATGTCCGCTTTTTGTAATATTGCAACGAAACATTCCAATATTGCAATATAATGTATTTGGATAAATTTTTTATGAAAACTCTAAAATGAAAACTATTTTTTGTACGTATATCTCATTAACTTCAATTTTTTTACAAATCGCACTTCTAATGATAAGTGTTTTTCAAAAGCAATTTTTTATGAAACCATAAAATATTTCAATAAATGTAATATTAATTCTGAAGGATAAATTTATTCCCAAGGACAAAGCATGTATGTGTGTATCTCGAGCAAATAATATCAACCACAAATATTATCCACATTAACATAATAATATAGTCTTCTATATATAGTAATCTAACTTGATAAGTTAATCATGAATTAAATTAATTGCAATGATTCTTTTCAATTCGAAGTCTCTCAACTACTCCGAGTCAATTGAAATCGATTAAAAAATGATGGTATGAAATTTATCAATAAAATTCGGGCGCTACATGCACATTAGACATAAATACATTATCACATAATTAATATTTTGATAAATTATTTTCAGCAGCTTTAATCTTATTATCTTATCCGATAATGATGCGTTGATTGTACCCAAACTCGATATTATACAATCTTCTGATTTCATATTCAAAATAAATATAAAATTTAGCTAATGCTGTGCTGTATGAGTACGATGTCTATAAGATATGATTAAAGTCGATGGACTAGAGGTAAATAAAAAAGAGGAATATTTCTTTTATTACCGACAAATAGTTTCAAAGTACATTTAATTTTTTTATACAGATCATATAACGAAAGATGCACGAAAACGAAAAATTAATTAAATTATTAATTACATAAACTATTGTATATTAGTTCTGAAAGTAGGAATAGCTTGAATTATGTTATTTGCACGAGAATGTAACGTTACTTTTTTATAATTCATATGATCGTTTGATGCATAATCGAGAGTTATATATACTTAAGCAAGAGAAAAATTTTACGTTAAACAAAAATAATTATCGTCCGTAATTATCGCGAGATAACACAATTCTACTTTCCATCGTGTTTTATTCCAAATGAATGAATCGTACGAAACATCTGTTTCGTAATATATGATTGTTATCTCGATTCTTTTATGAATAATTAATAAATTAAACGTATATTGTGAGTAGTCATAAAATATAACGTTTCATATTATATGTAACATTTTTCGTGATACATTTCAAAAAGAAATGTAAAGAAAAGCATGCGATATAGCTACCCGCCTGTACGAGCTGCGGTAAGAGAATAACTGCGCGGTAACTTCACATAAACGTGACGCGTCACGCCGCTCCGTCCCCCTCCTCCCATCTTCCTGCCGTTCCATGCCAAAACAATTCCCAAGGCCACGATCATCTAACTATCGAAATTAACGCCTATTTAATTCTAAATAAGTAAAATAATCTATTCAATACATTACTCGTTTTACATTACTCATTTTAATATTCTCCAATGAATATGCTTTATTGATATATAGGCACGGTTTTTGTTTTACTTCTTACATTCATTACGCACACAATTCATCCATGTATTAAATATTTCAAATTGTATTACAATTAGCGATTATTTATAATTTGTAACTTTTTGTTACGCGGAATTCGTGTGATATACACAATACTTTTAACAAAAGATTAACGTATCATGGCTTTTTGTTACTTATGTGAATCATTTAATTCTGGCATTCACGTCTTATTTCGCATTCTTATCCTGGAAAAAGTAATTATATTTAAATTATATTTAGATAAATTATATTAAGATAAATTATATTTAAATTATATATCTCTATAAATATACACAAATGCTATTTATATATATTCTATTTAATCCAAATCGTTTATTTAATTAAAAAAAAATGTTTGTATTTATTTAAAAGATGTATAACTTATTATTAATCTTTATTTAATTTTAAATCATTAAAGAGCAATAAAAATTGAAATACACTGCTGGGATGTCAAAAATATTTCACTTCGTGAGCAATTATGTAAATTAACCTACTTGTTGCATCTTGCTTTTTATCAGCACATTAGCTTATATGAAATATTTAAAATTATAAAATAAATATTAAATACATTCTGTTCTTCTCTTTGTACTTCGATTATGGTATCACGTTAAACGACTCGCGCCATTAAAACTAAACTGCCTATTAATCTTTAAAATTTATCTCTAGCATTTTTTTCGTTCGATTTACTATTTTAGCGGTACAATCATTTGAATAACACATGAGCCATGTTTTTCGTCAATTTTTGAAACTTAAAGGTAAGCATAACTTCGTGAAAACATTAAAAAAAATTTTTTTCCGAAATACATGTCTGATTCTTTAATGTCTAGAATACGTCTGCAAAATTTTAAAAGAATCGAAATTTTTAATTTTTTTTTATCAAAAAGTGATAAAATCCCGATTTGACGTGGAATGATCGATGTATAGGTCTATTTTTTAGCTGATTTGGTTCATCTTTTCTCTTTTTTTTTGCAACAACAAAAATACAGAAATAATGAATCATCATAAATTCAGCTAAAAATAACAGGTCTAAGCTTTCTTTGCGATGTTCAATTTTATTTACAAGATGTATGATTATATTTTATGTTGCGTTTTACTTATACAAAATTTTATATTTTGCTGTATTTTATTAACACAATATAATATTTTATTACATATTTTATAATTAATAAATGAAGAACAGTAAAAGAACTAAATAAAGATAAAAATTTAACATTGAGACATAGCTTAAAATTATTTAAAAAAAAAACAGTATCGAAAAACTAATTATGAAAAACTAATGTCAAATATCGCGGAATTACGAAGGAAAATTTTGCAGCATAATAATAAACTGATAAATATCAACATTTGTAGGAAAAGGAAAGGTAATCTATATTTGTGATCAATAAACATCGACAAGGATGATCAATTAACAAATTATTTTGGAAGCTTTCAATATATATGTAATTGATTATAAAAAGTTCGTGCTATTTACAAATTAGATATAATACAGAAAAAGTCCACATGGAAACAAGTGTTGAATACAGACGCAAATATCTAATAAGGAAGACACTATCACAGTTAAAACGTGCTAGAGTATATAGAATAATTCCGACGTTTAAACTTTTTGCAGTTCGGCTCGGTTTGGACACAACCAGTTTGTTCGCTACCTGCAATACAAATAATCTAATCATTTCAAAACTTCTCATTAAGAATTCTCTATATTCTATACATCGTTTTTTTAACAAAGTTACAAGTTATTTTGTAATAACGTTACTTACTGTCATCCATCGAAGCAGAATCTGCAATTTCTGTGGTTTCTGTATTCGAGCTATTAACTGTTCCGTCCAAGGTGCTTTTACTCGTATCCCCATTATCCGAATCATCGCCATCACTCTTAGAAGAAAAATTCGTCGGTGAGTTGTCAACGAAATACTTGTGTGTTGAATTCTCCTCGAACGTGGAACTGAATACGCTTTCCTCGTCAAATGAGATATCCATGGATTCTGGCATGTACTCGCCGGATGTCTCCGACAATTCGCTCGATCTACTGTTATCCATCATAGTGTTTGTGATAATTTGTAGTAGAGCAGAAGGATCATCGATACCTAGCATCCTGCAGAATCGGGTAGTCTGATCGTTTATCAGCAATCGTGGCCATTCGATCCGAGTATTCGTGTCACACGGGTCATATGGTTTGACGGTTCGAGTGAAGTTGAGAGGAATTCGCAGATTGGAACCAAACTTCTCATACACAGTCTGTTTCTCTTTTGCCGTGGGTGTGTACGTCCATCTGCCGCCGCCATACTGACCAGGCATATAATGGATACTGCTCTTGATGCTTAGTAGATGATTTGTCAGATGAAGTATTGTCAACCATTCTAGATCGTAGTTCAATTGTATTGGACCATCTTCCTGCGAACGCACTTCCAGCACTTGAAGGAATTTCCGTTTCGGCAGACATTTATCCAGCGCTAAAAATTTTGTCACTCGTGCGCCTCCCTTCTCAGGAACAAGTGCTGCGAATTTGCAATGCAAATGCGCGGAAAACCAGTAGGACGGATAAAGACGTTCTAGCAATTCCATACATGGAGGACTGCCAAGCGTATTGCTTTCTATGTCATCCCTAAAATAGCAAATTGTAATTAATATTAATTTTAACTGTTAAAATATGTCTATCGAATTTCAAGAATTTTACATTAATATTTAGTCTTATCATTGAAAACTTACTTAAAAAATGGTTTTTGTTTCAGTAATATATCTTCATCTCCATATTTTGTTACTCCTGCTGGCCAATCATGTGATAAAAAAATATCAATTTTGCCAGAAAGCTAAAAACAAAAAATCTATATGTAATTTTCCAACTATCTAAGAATAGTCATAATTTTATTTCATAATTTTATCTAAAATTGTATGATTAGCTGGAGAAGTATAGAAATATACAATTTCATTAATCAATGTGTGATAGTTAATACTTACTTGTTTTAGTCTAAACACTTCTATATTCCTGATATGATAAACACTTCGTATAGTACTATCAGTATAGGGAGGCTTCTCATAATGTCCCTGCATCCAATGTCGACTCTTGTATATACCCGAAAGTCCTGCAATTCTGATTCCAGCTACTTGTACCACACCTGCATATCCAAGATAATAAATATTAGGTGCAACCCATCCTCCATATGGCAATTCCTGCAGATAATTTGATGCTTCATGATTGCCTCCAATAAAAATGGTTAATATAGGAGCTTTCTTTTCACCAGAATAATATCTGTAATATAACATCAAACATTAAAAACATGTTGTTTTCTTATTAAATATCATTAAACATACAAATAACTTATCTGAATAAATAAGTAAAAAATCTGTTCAAAATAAATTTTGTTAAATATCCATTGCAAACTTTATCAGTAGAATACCAGCAAAAGTAATGAAATAGCAGAATAATTGTAGAAACCAAGCATAATCTGCTATTTTATAATCATTTTAAATATTCATCATATCAATCATTTGATTGATCCTACTTAATATAAAATTAATTCTGTTTGGTTTCTAACAATCACAATATGGTTATTAACAATCTGCTTACTTTGGCATTCCGACAAGATAATAAAAACAAATTTGAGATATTATTATGACAAATTTTTCAAGTCTATTAAGCTTGTTTAGTTGTAAGATAAAGATTCTAGAATCTCTCTCTCCTATAGCCTACTAACACACTTGAAATTAACAGCAATTGATGTCACTTTACTACAATATGTTGCTCCACAAACAGATTGCTAACATACTGCCAACTGTTTGCTTTTTAAGTAATGCTATGAACAGCCTACATTTAGTTTAATCAACTCTTGCTTAAATACTCACTTATAAAATGTACACATATCCTTGTACTTGTCCGATATTGCCATACATTTTAGATCATTTAAATTTCTGGTAGCTTGAAAATCGCCGCAGCAAATAAGCAGATCTATCTTCCTCCCATCGATTTTTTCTATTTCTTGTATAGTCTCGTAAATAATGTCCAGTTCGCCATGAGCGCAACCCTCCACAGCGATCCTCATTTTCGGAACTCAATCGTAAAAGATCTACACGATCTTATGACTAATGTCATATATGTTTTTCTCAAATGTACGATTATGAATACGATGGTTAGAATCACCTGTAAACAACCTCATTACACAATCAACGGCACATAACACTTTAAACTTAACCTCACACGAGAATACAACCGCAGGCTACTCCACGACCATTGTAACATAGATTGGAAACAATATCGATCTCGGGATACCGTTAATATTTCCAAAAGAGTAGAAGATGATTGGCTGTAGGAAAATTATTTTTTTAATTGCATATCGAACGCACCATTATTTTAAAATGTGTGAATAAGGGGCTCGATTGTATACTTTAAAATGAGGTGAAAATTACAAAAGTGAGCAATGATTACTAAGTATTGATCAATTAAATTATGAATATTCTAGTGAATTTGTTCACTTTTGTAATTTTCACCTCATTTCAAGATACAATTGACCTCAAGGATTTGGAGCCACAGGCAATTATTATATTATTATATTACAAATTACATAAAAATAAACACTGGAATCTTATTATTTTGATTGATGCAGTCATTATGTGGTACAATTTTCTTGTCATCTTTGTTTAACATTCGGAATAACATTAAATAACAAAGAAGTGACCAATTTGCCACATCATGGCGAACGTTTGTCAAACTCTCCCTTGACAGTTCTGTAATCCAAGATATTAAACCTCAAAAGCCTAGTTTCCACCGGATTTAATCCATTCAGGGTTTAATCGGGATTAGAATGTAAACAAAAATGTCACTTCAATTTTATTAATACATTCAATAAAATAACTAATAACACTTTTCATATCCTACATCGTTAACACATGTGCAAGAATTGATACATTTAATACAAAAATTACCTATGAAATGAAATGCCTGAAGAACCAACCAACTACAGTTAAGTATTCCTCAGTTACAGTCGAACGATAGGGGAATGCTGGACTGTAGTTGATTGATTCTTACATTCTGATCCAGATTAAATCTTCGGTGGAAACCAAGCCACAGTTAATAACTGTTGGGGTTAGAAAATGTGTCACAGAGACAAAAGAGATGGTATTCAGAAGAGAGTAATTATTAAGTTTAGTCAACGCATCTTAAAAATCAATGAAATTAGACTTATTCGATGCGTTTTCGCATAAAATGTAAAATTAAAAGTGAATGAAATTAGACTTATTTTATGCATTGAACTACATATACATTGGAATCTTCACTGTAAAGCATAGAGAATCGTGGCACCAATTGATCAGCGCCATTTTAATTTGGTCAATGTAAGAACGAATCAGAAACTTTCAGGTGCTCATGCGTGTTTAATGTTCCTTAGTGAGACGCATATGTCAGCAAGATCGTCGTGTATGGGATTGTATTTGAAAGATTATAAAATCGCGAAAGTGTAAAATGTGCATTAACATGAAGTGTTGTGTGCCTGAGTGTGGGCAAAGAGGTAAAAAAGGTATTTCATTTCATAGGTAATTTTTGTATTAAATGTATCAATTCTTGCACATGTGTTAACGATGTAGGATATGAAAAGTGTTATTAGTGTTATTTTATTAAATGTATTAATAAAATTGAAGTGACATTTTTGTTTACATAAAACCATTCATGTCCATATAGATTTTCGTGGATATCGATCGATATATCGATCGCAGCGCACATGCGAATGCTTCTGATTCGATTAAATATCGTCCCAACTAAAATGGCG